GTCATGACTTGAAAGATTGCCATTTGGGGATGGCTTACCCAGGCGTAGACCTTGCCCTTGTAGCGCTGCATCACAGTGGTGATGTGATTCTGCATGACTTGGATCAGGGTGTTCTTATCGGAGATGGACTGCACCCAGGACGGGAGCTGTGAGTGCCAGACTGGTCGAGTTTAGTTGGCTTCTCAAGTATGGACTGTAGTACTGGGTCAATCGTACCGAGAGTGTGGCCACGGATCAGCTTTCCGTTAGACTGGGCGAAGTTGACCTGGAGGATGTAAGACTCGAGTGCACCTCTCGGTTTTTGTGAAGGATACATACCAGGTAATCCGACCCCGAGAAGGAAAACTGTCCTCGGTTGGCTATGCGCTGATCAGAATCAAATCACACTCGTTTCCTGCAAGGTCTGTGCTCACGCTCAGTAGCATCCCACTTCATGCTGTTCTCCGGAGTCAGCTGGCCAAAGTCGGCCTTGATGATCGCCGGGGTCTTTGCGTTCTTGTTGAGAGTGTACTGGTCGCCGATGGTGCCCAGGTACTTCTTGCCGTGCGCCTTGAATTTGGCATCGATGCTCACCGAGGCCTGGCGGGGCTCGATGGGGCTGGAGAGCACATTACTGGCGAAAAGGACAGCCAGAGCAGCTGCTTTGATTTGAACCATGTTGGAAAGAAGGGATGACTGCTCTTGAGCTTGAGGAATGAATTAAATGAATGAATGTTGATGTTGATGTTGATGGAACGAGAGATGGGAATCGCAGCATCTACATGGGAATGGAGCAGTATTTGTAGACAGAACGACTCAGCATCTGAAGGATACAAAGCTGATGCTCGAGGTCTAGCTGCTTGACCGGTGGAGTATCCCAATTGAGAACGGATATTGCATTGTTTCCCTTATTCAGATATCTACTTCATTGCTCGTAGGCGAGAAATGATACTTCGAATGGCGATTAGCCTGAACGGGTGAATGAAGAGGTTTAGGCTGGCTAGACCGAAACGCCAAGCTTGCTCACCGGAATTATCAAGGCCATCTGAATCTACAGGGGTGGGGTCCGATGTTGCACGGTTGTCCTCATAGCCTACCGATGGTTGCCCATCAGGGTCCAGGGTCTACCTCGGTTCTAGAGATAACTTGACCTTGAATAAATTGTATGCGGGAATAGCCGATGCCAAGCATTTCCTGCGGAGACCTTTCGTTTCGAAGCGGGATTTGGTGGGTTATACACTGAGAATCTGCCACACTCCAGAGTCCCAAAGAGTCCCAAGGAAGGCAGCCAGAGATCACTGATGTTTGGTCATTCGTGAACTTCCATCAATGTTTGCAGATACAATGGTAACTACAGCCGACCTTCATGCTGACAGGTGTCAATGATGTGGTCACTAGCAGTAAGGAGTTGAAGTTTAAATTGTTTTGGCATGAAACCCTCATCTCGGGGCAGTGTATCAGCCTAGAACCAATTAGCTTGGCACCCCACAACGATACACGTCTAGACTCGCGTGTACTTGCCAGGCAGTAACATGCCTCGGCAGCTGGTCCATGAAGCAATGCCGAAGCACATTATGCCACTATGATCTTGGTGTGATGCTATTTTAAACCTCCGTTCTGATCAGGGCAATGGTCCGGTGGACAGGTGATTCTGGCTGATGTAGTTTAGGCGCCAGTGTGAGCTGGTGACTGCAACATACTTGGTGAGTTAGAATCAGACAACAAAAGAACCCTGCTTTTATCCGAAACACCTGGGCTTGTCTAGCGAGCGCAAAACCAAGACATTGCTCTGGACAAATTACGAATTCCTTTAGCCAGATTCGAAGGTATATCAACTGTGGTGCGGCCCTCTATGCATCACTTGTCTTTTGTACTCCAAGATTTTCAAGACCAACTCAATATCTCTCCTTCTCTGCTGCAGAAGAGATCCCACCAAAATGAAATTCCTCAAGGCCAAAGCTGGTCTGCTGTCGTCTGGCATCTGCCTTCTTGTCTCTGCACCCTTTGCCTCCGCAAGCTGCCCTCTTCCTTCTACCTACTCCTGGACCTCAACCGGAGCTCTCGCAACTCCGAAGTCGGGATGGACCAGCCTAAAAGACTTCACTGATGTTGTATGGAATGGCAAGCACATCGTCTATGCATCAACCACCGATACCAAAGGTAGCTACGGGTCGATGACCTTCAGTCCATTCTCCAACTGGGCGGACATGGCTCAAGCCAGCCAAATCGCCACGAGCTTCGGTGCCGTGGCCCCCACCTTGTTCTACTTCCAGCCCAAGAACATCTGGATGCTCGCCACCCAGTGGGGGTCCAGCACTTTCACCTACCGCACCTCCACCGACCCCACCAACGTCAACAGCTGGTCCGCAGAGCAGCCCCTATTCTCGGGCCAGATCGGTAGCGGCGAAAGTTCCGGCACGGGCGCCATCGACCAGACCGTGATTGGGGACGCCACAAACATGTATCTATTCTTCGCCGGCGACAACGGCAAGATCTACCGGGCCAGCATGCCCATCGGCAACTTCCCTGGAAACTTCGGCACGCAGTACGAGGTGGTGCTCAGTGGCGCCCGGAACGATATCTTCGAGGCAGTCCAGGTGTACACCGTCCAGGGCGGCCAGGGCCAGAGCAAGTACCTGATGATCGTCGAGGCGATCGGCTCGACTGGGCGTCGGTACTTCCGGTCCTTCACGGCTAGCAGTCTCGGCGGGGCGTGGACGCCCCAGGCGGCCAGCGAGAACCAGCCCTTCGCGGGCAAGGCCAACAGTGGTGCCACCTGGACTCAGGACATTAGTCACGGCGACTTAGTGCGCAACAACCCGGACCAGACGATGACTGTCGATCCTTGTAACCTCCAGTTGCTCTATCAGGGCAAGGACCCCAACAGCAGTGGCGACTACAACACGCAACCGTGGCGGCCGGGTGTGCTCACTCTGAAGCACTGAAGGGGTCGGCTTGGATGGATTGAAGGATCCGACTTTCGGGATGGGGACGATGTGAGATGTGAGATGCTCCTATAGCCAAGGTCATGTGGCACGGCATGCCCTAGTTACTCCTTATGTATGCCCAACCCCTACGAGAAATCTCTCCAGTTACCACGGAACCATTACCATTTCTTGAGCCTAAGGTAGTCAGCATCATCCGCTGAGTAGCTCCGAACTAAGTCTTTCACCTTTTGGCATGTCCTCGACCCTAACATGGAGACCTCCACCTCCTTCAACCACGTAAATTTACCCGCTGTGGTTGTAGTTTATCATGTGCCTAGGCGGGATAGGCAAGGGCTGGCAGCAACATCCCTCAGCTACTCGCTCACTCTGGTGACACGCGTGCACCAGCATGGTGACAATCTGATGTTTGGAGCAGTGACTGGGGTCCAGGCGAGAGAATATACGGAGTAAGCACTATAGCAAGCCGACCCGCACCGGAGTTGTGAGATGAAGCAAGATTTCGCGCTAATGCAGAAGCAGCCACTCAAATCATTGCACTGGCGCTCCACCATAAGCGGAAGATCGAATCAGAGTTAAGCTTGGGCGGTACCATCCGTTAGTCTAGGAGACATAGTGTGTGCACTACGCAGTCACCAAAAAGTCAGTTATACTAGGCTGACAACCTGAGGGCATCGCCTCGATCACGAACAACAGCATTATAAAACCCTCGTCTGCATGCCGTCGACTCTCTCCCTCTGACTCTCATTTTCTCCTTCATCCCCCAAATCGTACCCAGTCCACCCTCAAATCCCCAAATCCAACCATGTCGCACCCCAAGAAACCCATCTTCGTCCTCATCCCAGGCGCGTCGCAGAACCCGTCCCACTACGCCCACCTCCTCCACCTCCTCCAATCCGCCGGCCACGGCACCTTCACGGGTCTTCTCCCCAGCATCGGCGCCACCGACCCCGTCACCGCCGTCGACGACACCCACTATATCCGCCACCGCCTGCTCCTGCCCCTACTGGATGTAGCCCGGCAGGACGTAATCCTGATCAGCCACTCCTACAGCGGGATGCCCGCCAGCGCCGCCGCATTTGGGCTTGCTCGCGCCGATCGCGCCGCGGAGGGCAAGTCCACGGAGGTGCTGGGCCAGATCTTCATCGCCAGCATCCTTCCCCGCGGCGGGGATGGGTCGAGCGTGATTGATGGGTTTGGGGGCCAGTTGCCGCCTCATATCCAGTTTGATGTATGCCCTCTCCTCTCCTCGCCTTGGCCTTGGCGTTGCTTATCCCTACTAGCAAGACTTTCTGACGTTGCGGCTGGCTCGACAAATATGTCTGTCTACGATTTATCTCGAATGAAACTGATAGGTGTCTGTCTGTGCTCTAGGAAAAAGAGAACCTCCTCAAATGCGCCGACCCCATCCCCCCGCTCTTCTACGACGTCGAGCCCGTTCTCGCGGCCGCGGCGGCCCGGTCCTCCCTCAGTCAGGGGTATACCTCGTTTGCGAGTGAGTGCCCGCAAGCGAGCTGGGCGACGGAGGCGTTTCGTGGACGCGTGGCATACATCCATACCCTGCAGGACCGCGCGGTGCCGTATGAGGCGCAGCGGGCGATGGTGGAGGCGACGGGGGTGGAGTGGGTGACGCGAGAGCTGGACACGGGGCATAGTCCGCAGATGTCGGCGGCGGAGGAGTTGGCGGGGGTGATTTTGGAGGTGGCCGGGTTGTGGGTGTAGTGTTTGGGAGGGGGTTAGACTGGGGTGTATGGTGGAGTTTGAGATCTGCTGGGTCGGGTTGTTGTTACATGTTGTCGTTGGGAGGGTATTCCGTGAATGTTTCAAAGGTCTGTGGGACAGGAGTAGGAAACAACGAGGTGAACTCCGGGTTAGAGTCTCTATACTAAGTATTTTATTCTATGTCACATCTCCAATAACCCTCAGAATCCAATTTGAGGAGGACTATACGGTAGTTATCACTACAAGCAGATTCTTTCATGGCCACAGATATCTTATTACGCCGATCTTACAAGGCTCCTGTAGATGAGCTTACTAGAGGTTGAGAACAGAAGGCTTGGCGCGTTACAAACTGAATTAAATAGAACCAGCATATAAAACATTCTTCCACTCAGTCTCAATGAGAGTTCGACGAGACGGGCTCCGCGGCCGAAACTCAGCTTTGAAGGGCTGTGGCCGCGAGCTGATCCCCTGTGTCATGGCAAATGGGTCTGGCGGCTCATTCCCCACATACTGAATGTGAAACGCCCACAGCATGCGCGAAATGACAAGATTCAACGATTTGCGAGCCAGATTCTCGCCGGGACAAAGCCTTCGCCCCATTCCGAACGCACAGGTTGGTAGATCGGGGTTCTCGATTCACCTCTCCGGGAGGAAACTGTGCGGATCCTGGAAGACCTCTTCATCGAAGTCCAGCGACCAGTGGTCCTGGATGACAGTCGTACCTCGCGGAATGCGGTAGCCTATGTACTCGTCGTCCTGAGTCGTGCAATGGTGCAGACCCCCAGGAACGACGGGCCGCCAGCGCAGCACCTCTTCCACGAAAGCCTGAAGGTACGGAAGCCGGGGCATATCGTCCAGTGTCGGCATCCGCTGAGAACCCACCACTTCGTCTAGTTCAGCCTGCGCGCGCAGCACGGCCGGTCGCTGCAGCACTACCACCAGGATGAAGACTTCGAGCACGAAGGCCGTGGTGTCGCTGCCGGCCTCGTAGTTGACTCCGACGACGTGGGCCATCTCGTTCTCGCTGAATGCCGACTCGGGCCATCGGGCGCAGGCGAGGTCGCGGATGGTACGACTCCATGCCTTTGTTTGTGTCGTTTGGAGTGCCCTCAGCATGTGGTGTGTGAAGAACCGCGCCTGGCTGTCCTGTAGTCGGGCGGCGCTTCTTCTCCACGGTGCCAGCCAGTCTGGCAGATGGTCCAGGATAGGGAACGCCACCCCTGGCAGGCACACCTCGCCCAGGAGCTCGCGCATGATGCGATCTATTTCTTTCACCTCTGGCTCATCCCCGCGCTCCAGTCGGCGCCCATACGCCAATGCAAAAGTCAAACTTGCGGCGAAGCGGTGGATTCGCCCCGCAAAGTCGTCGGTCCAGAGCAGCTCCCATAGTAGCTGCTTGCACTCGAGGTCCTGGAGACTGATGCAGTCCTTGCATCGGCGCTTGTTCAGCAATGTGTGGAGGAGGAGGCAGTGTCGGCGCCACTGGAGACCATATGGCAGAGCCACGACCAGGGAGTCGCTGCCCATGGCATCGGCAAAGTACGCGGGGCGAGAGCCATAGATAGCCCCTCGTCGTTTGAAGAGGTCTTTCGCGCAATGGAAAGAACCGATGATGATAATCGGGCGGGAGCCCACCCAGACGGTGATGATGGGGCCGTGTCGATTGTGCCAGGTTTTCAGGGTTCGCCACGGATCCCGCCGTGGCAACTGGTGCAGATTGCCGATGATCGGGAGTGGCCGCGGCCCCGGTGGATATTGATGTCTTCTCTTGTTGAGCTGTAGCAGAAGGTACAAGTATCCAAGGATTGCCATCGTGAGGAAAATAATCATCGTCTCTATACCGGGGCGATAAGCAATATAAAAGATAACACTATATTGGCAGTATATTGCCGGTTTCGAGGTGCAGCTATCGATTCCTGCGAGTCCACGAGTATTTAAACGTGCCCACTAGTATAGAATTGACCTGGGCTATTTTCTGACCGAGAAACCTGAAAAAAGCTCACGACCGTCCTAATCTACGTCCGGTTCATGTCGTCAATGGCGCGCATTGAATCGTGGCCTCTGCTCCGTAGACCTGTTTATGAAGACTGGGCGCAAGGTATAACTCAGTGTGGGTATCATTCCAAAAGGTGTGCACCTAATAGATCCACTCATTCACGGGTACATACTCTCTGCACCTCTTCCCAGACAACATTTATATTGAATACTGTTACGCTTGCGTTGAATCTTACCGATCGTGCAGTCTGCACGAGTCATGTCGTAATTGACCTGCACCAGAATGAGGCTAGCAAGCGACGAGTAGTCTCTTGAATAGGAAAGAGCCATCGCCATTTGCTCTTTCAGCAAGAATTGTTGCTTCCTCGATGTCAACACTAAGTCATCGATACCTAAGTCCATGGACCAGCTTGCAATACACGTCGATGGGCTTCGAGGAGAGAGGGATATGACAGGTACGGAGACCTCAACCAAAATTTGCAACTGCAACCAAGGGCCCACAGAACAAAGTCAATCATTCAAGAAATAAGCGGCGAGTAGATCACATTCTACTGGTCATCGCAGGACGAAAGCTCAGGTCACAAAAGTGCCTTTTCGTGCAAGCATCTCGAAGGACATATAAGACAAGCTTCCGTCCATCCTCCATAGCATATCATCCACAAACAAGTAAAGCCACCGTTATGATGTCCTCTACCACTGTTCTACTTGACCGAAATCTATTCACTCTTTCTTATGATAGTCTTTCAGAAGTGGAGAGAACCCGGATGAGCTATCTCCGAGCTCGAAGCATCACGAGATACCATGGTGGGACGAGCATCCAATTGCAACTGTTTCACTACACTGACTGGCACTACTCTAGGCTTCGCGCCAAACGATATTCTACGCCTAACACCCAAGTTCTGGGCCTTTCACCATGATGATATTTGCGCTTTTGATATTTCCGCGTTCTCACTCATTACCATCCAATGCAACCTCGTCGCCGGTACCTTGGCTGCCTATGCCAAGAAGAAGACCGAGTACCAAAATCTTGTCAAACATGTGCTGAGCTTTGACGTTCAGTGAGTTCTTGACCCAGCGATAGACTCATTCAATGACCAATTCGTCAGAGGGCAGTATATGCTTACCGAGCTAGGCCATGGCCTCGATGCCAAGCATCTAGAGACGACAGCAACCTTATTGCCAGACGGTAGTTTCGATCTACACACTCCTCACTTGCACGCGGCCAAGTAAGTTACATCCACTCAAAACCCCCCTGCACCGATGGCACAAAAATCTAAAAATTGCTCAGGTACATGCCTCCTACATCACCGGTAGAGGGATTCCCACAGTTTGGCCTCGTCTATGGCCAGACTTATAGTGGAGAACGAAGATCGAGGCGTGCGGCCTTTTGTTGTCTGGCTGAACAACGGCCGGGAAATGTGCCCTGGCGTTACATGCAGGTACGTGCTAGCCTCCTAAGTCTCCCAAATCATCATTAGGATGACCGGTCTCATCCATATTTGCGCGTAGAGTGCTTCCCCGTCGAGCCGGCTCCAAGCCCCTCGACCATTCGATCACCAGCTTCAACCACGTTCGTCTCCCAGCATCTGCGCTGCTGGGCTCTCTCGCCAAGCCGGACGATCCCCGCCAGAACTTCCTGCACGTCATCTCACGGATTAGGGTCGGCACGATGGCCATCTCGACCACCCTCCTCCCGATTCTCAAGCGCTGTGCGTTTGTGGCGGGGAAGTACAGCCTCCGCCGTTGCATCACCAACCCTGAAGGCAGTCTCATCTCGATATTCACCTTTCGGACCCAACAGAAACCCATTCTGCACGCGCTGGCCCAGATCGCCGTCTTCGAGGCCTGGATCCCCCAGTGCATTGCACAGTACACAGACCCAACCCTCGCAGGCCCTGTCCGCCACGCACTCGGCGTCTGCGTCAAGGCCGTCCTATCCAAGGCGGTCCAGCACAGCGGGTTCCACCTCGCCGAGCGCTGCGGCGCCCAGGGGCTGTACGAGTACAACCACATTGTCGAATCGCAGCTCGAAAGCCGAGGGATTGCTGTCTCGGAGGGGGATACACTGGTTCCGAGTATTCGTATGTTGGCCCCAGTGCCCCGAACCCAAGCTCACCTATCACCATAGTCTCCCATTACCTGTCAAGAAACTAACACAAATTATGACAATATAGGCCTAACAACCGAACTCCTCCTGAACCGCTACGCAGTGCCCCAGCCCAGGCACCCTGCCACTCTTCTAGCCCAGCACGAGACCGGCCTGCTAGCTGCCGCCCGCACGCGCCTCCACACAATGTCCGACGGCCACCGCGGCGCCGATTACAACCGCGTGCTCCTGCCCCAGTGCCTGCCTATCGTCGAGGCGATCGGCCAGCGCATGGCCTACGAGGCAGCGCTGGATGCCGGTGTTGAACCGAATCTTCTGGCGCTGTACGAGGCGGGGGTGGTGTTGCAGGATCCGGCGTGGTATGCGGAGCACTGCGGGCTATCACGTGGGGCGCAACTGGACCAGGAGCGGCGGGCGCTGGATGCGCTGGAGCCTAGGGTTGAGGAGCTGCTGGACGGGCTGGGGGTGGAGCGGTTTTGCACCGCGCCGATTCTTTCGGCGGAGCAGATGGAAAGGTTTGTGGCGGGGTTGCCGACTTTTGGGGAGGACGGGAACAGGGAGAAGCAGAGGGAGAGTCGGCTATGACTTGGTCGTATCTGCTTCGCTTGGGTTTCCAATGAGCAAAAAAGGGCGATTTATCTGGGGTATTTCTGAGCCCAGGGACAAAGCAGGGTGTGCTCATGAAGCATGCAGCCGAAAAGCCATCTATCTGTAGCATGCAGCACGGATGCTAACCCTAATTGTCGGGGTTGCCCCGCTGGGCTCTCGCCACAAGATCGTTCGATCAAGTGATGCAAAAGCAATCAACCGGGTCACTTGTTTTGCTGAGCTTTCATGGCGGAATGATCGCCGGTATGCTCGTTCAAGATATGCTTGTCACCGCCAAGTCGCCAAAGTTAACAGGATATTCTACGGCTATAAATGCACTCGCATCGCCCCCAGAGCAATCCACATCCAGTCCACCGATACCCTTGCGATCAAAATGTCTACCACCATGAAAGTTGCTATAGTCGGAGCCAGCGGCGATACAGGTCAATCGATCGTGAATGCGCTTCTAAGCTCCTCCACCCCGAAATTTGTAACACGATCCGCACACCCATACATCATTCCACCACCCTCTAACAACAATCATACCAACAGGAAATTACCGCCCTCACAAGACCACAATCCCTCAACAAACCCACCAACCTCGCCCTCCAAAGCCGGGGCGTCCGAATCGTCCCCGCGGACCTCCGCGGCCCCATCGCCCCCCTTATCACCCTCCTCCAGGACATCGACATCGTCATCTCAGCCATCCATTTCAACGCGCTCGCCGACGAAACCCCCCTCGCCGACGCCGCCAAAGCCGCCGGCGTCAAGCGATTCGTGCAGTCCGCGCTGATGATCATCATCCCGCCCAGGGGGGTGGTGGATTTCCGCGAAAAGGTGCGTCGTGCGCGAGCCTCACCCGAACCCAACCCATGCATTCCCCCCCTCTTCCACTATCACATCACACCACCAACGCAGCCAAAATCCCCAATCCAACCACAATCACAGTCCAAAATACTAACAACCTCCCCCCTCAAAACAAAAGAAGGAAGAAAACCTGCACTACATCCAAAAACTCCGTCTGCCGTACACCTACATCGACGCCGGCTGGTGGCACCAACTGAGCCTCCCGCGCCTGCCCTCGGGCCGCGTCGACCATCTCCTGCCCCCCGCAGCCCAGCACGACGGCTTCCCGCTGGGGCGCGATGGGAACGTGCCGACGGCGCTGGCGGACCTGCGCGACGTGGGGCGCTACGTCGCGCGGATCATCGCCGATCCGCGGACCTTGAATCGGCGGGTGCATGTGTACAATGAGGTGTATACGCTGAATCGGGTGTGTGAGGTGGTGGAGCGCGTGAGTGGGGAGAAGCTGGAGCGGAGATATGTGAGTCGAGTCCTTTTTTGGTTATACCGTTCTAGGTTGGAGGGGTAGGGAGGAGCTGACGTTGGGGTTGAACTAGGTATCCGAGGCGGAGGCGCGGGATGCGGTGGATAAGGCGCGGATGAGGCTGGCCCACAGCCCCGGGGATACCGGTGCCTTGCTGGCGCATGTTGCGGCGCAGTTGTTTTATTCTTGGGGGATCAGGGGGGATAATACTCCTGAGAATGCTGAGTACTTGGGGTACTTGAGTGGGAAGGACTTGTATCCGGATTTCGAGTATGTTTCTTTCGAGGAGTATATCAGGGAAGTCCATAGAGGGGAAGTGGAGGGGGTTTATCAGAGTAGGTGAGGGTGTGGCTGAATGGCTAGATTCTTGATGTTGCCAGAATTGAAAATATATACACAGCCGTGGGGAGTGAGAGCTCGCCTGTCTTGTAGAGTACAGGCGACAGAAAGCAGAGCTGAAGACGAAGAAATACAGGATGCATGCCAAGCCTCGACCGACTGAAAGCAAGATTGGACAGTACATGGTCTTGACCACCCATTCTTCACCACCCCGTCAACGTCTACCTCTACTCCCTTACGTGGCGTCCGTCTCGCGACCCCACCCCCAACCACAGCAAATCCGGTCGGCTATAATGCCCACAGACATCGACAAAGGCTCTCGTCCGCTGAATCGGCCCATCCAGGTCCAAGTCCGCGTAGATGATCCCCTCCTCCGTGCTGGGGATGGGCGCCGAAAGCAGGCGGCCATCGGGCCCGAAGATCGCCGAACTGCCGCCTCCGGGGGTGCTCATCATGCTCCCCGTGGCGGTCTGCATCTTGTCAATCCCGGCCTGGCTGATGACGGCGGTGGTGTGCAGCACGTAGGACTGGGATTCGATTGCGTAGGTGCGGGCGAGGGCGATGGTTCCTGCAATCGATTCGCGATGTTAGCCGATACTGAGTGGGAAGGAAGTGGTCCCAATGGGGAAAGGGGAAGTACCCTCGCGCGACATGCTATACAAACACTCCTCTTTATTGTCCGCGTCGAACAGCGGCGGCCAGGCGGCGACGTGGATCTGCTCGCGCTGCGCATACGTGTGGTACTTGAGGAGGGGCTGGATGTGCTCCCAGCACGAGAGGGCGCCGACGCGCCCGGCAGCGGTGGTGTCAACCACGCTGTTGAGGCAGTCGCCGAACGAGTCGCCGAAGATGGTCCGTTCCATGTGCGTGGCTTTGATCTTCTTGCGCAGCGCGAGGATCTTCCCGTCCGAGTCGACGATCGCCTGCGCGATGTACAGGGAGTGGTGGATGTGCTCCGAGAAGCCCAGCACCACGGCGATCTTGTGCTCCGCCGCGCAGCGCTGGATCGTCGCCATCTGCGGGGAGTCGACCTTCAAGGAGTTTTGGATGTACAGAGATGAAAGGTTCATGTCGACGGGGCGGGACCTAGAAGGATTTGTAGGAGTGCTTGCGTCAGGTTTGAGTGCCAGTTTGTTGGGGGAGATCGGGTTAGGGCAGGGCGAAGGGCTTGCCTTACCAGATCCAAGCAGGATATCCCGGGATCCAGCATTCGGGGAAGCTGATCAACTGCGCGCCCTTTTTGGCGGCTTCAGCAATCAGAGTACATGTCTTCGCGACCGTTGCGTCGAGATCCAGCCACACCGGTTCGGCTTGGGTGACGGCGACGCGGACTGTTGAGGTGGCAGGGGCGCGCATGATGAGGTTATTGTGGTGCTGGATTTCTGGATGAGTACTGTGTGGGAGAGCTTCAGAAGCTCCGGTGCTGGAAGGTTAAAGTATGCGCACTTTCAAGCTTCACTCAGCGCAAGCAGAGCAGAGACGGCGATAACTTTAATCAAGTGTTATGACTGTTGCAGCTCGTTCAGATAGCTTCTTATCAGATTATTGCGGGATTATCGAGGCGGAATTTGTCTTCCGCCGCTTGACCCCGCCCAATTTTTGGCGAACTGTCAGACCACTTGAAGATGACCTTCTGGTCCTGATAAAACCACCCCAATGGCCGACGCGCTTGAGCAGGCTGAGAGCCGAAGGTACACCTAATTTAGAGCTGGTGGTCGTAAGAACGGATATTTAATAATTGTGGCGCGTCGGAAGTTGAAGTCCAATGGAGATGATATGCGAGATTGAATCACTGAGGAAATCGTGCTAGTAGTCTGTCATCCCAAACAAGTCGAAGCCGGACTCATGGAAGAGGTCCGGAAAGATGCTGGCGGTCCCTGTTTCTTCACTGTCAAATAAAGCCGTGTCCTCGTCCTCATGAGCCTCCTCCGCGGGCAACCATTCTGACTCAAGCTGTTCCTCTTCTGGCGCCTCCTCTCTCGGATTAGAGACAGCAGAAAACCCATGCTGCAAAGGCAAGGCCCCCATGACCTGCCATCTGCGCGCCAGCTGCCGCAAGAGACAAATCGCTCGCCTCGCTTTGACCCACCGCTGCTGCATCACCCACAGGACATGGAAACACACCCGAAACTGCGCAGTTGACGCGCTTCGTAGGGCCTGGTACGTCGAGGTCGCATTGCAGAGGTGCGTCACGGCGGCCGTGAGCACACTGTGAACCACGAACGGGGGCATGTGGTCGACCGGCGCGACCTTGCGGTACTCACGGAGGAGTCGGACAATCGACGCCGCGGCGGTGGACATGGCGCGAACGCATAGCTGGTACATGCTGCTTCGCTGGGTGGCTTGCTTGAGATACGGCCGGTGGATGAGGATATGCGACATGTGGTACGAGATGTGCAAGTAGATGATCGAGGGCACGATCGCACGGGTCCGGCCCAACTGGATTTGAGGGTCCACCTGTCGTCGAAAAGCGTACAATTGGTCCCGCGCATTCAACAAGATATGGGACTTTTGGGCGCTGCTCAGGCTTGTGAACTCGAACGAGTAGCTGGAGGTTCAAGTTGAATGAGTTCAAGTTCTGGGTGGGTCCTGCTTCTGGGGCGGAAACATACATTCTATCCATGTGCTGATCATGGATGAACCACAAGCGACATTGATGGTCAAAGGCTAGCTCGTCTAGAGAAGGTACGGGCCCAACGGTGCTGATAAAGAACTGGGTCTTGATCCGCCTCCATGGGAGCATACAGTTGCGTCCCAAAAGGGATGTTGCGATTCTGTCTCGGTGGCATCAGTTTGGAAGAATCGCATCGCGATGTTGCCTCTCACATACCGATCCATGAATACTGATGACCAGAGCGCTCTCAACTGAACGTGACGAGCGTGAACTTCTTGGTGTGAATTGATGGACTCAGCATCGGATAATTTGGTCTCCTGGGCCATGCTGACTGGTAGGCCTAGGTGTAGGGCCATGCTGGCACACATTGCTTCTCATGGTCATAGTTTGTCAGTTTGACATGAACCAGCCCACTGGAATCACTCAGTGCACTCACAGTTGTACATCCACGCCATGTTGTGTTCCTCGAGCCCCAGCTCCCGCCAGCACATGATAGATAAAGCCTGTACGGTATGAACACTCGGCGATTCTCGACAGTGCTGCATGACCATGGCGTCAACCACGGCTGCAGCCTCCTCGCCAACCGTCCTGCTCTTGGCATCATCCGAGTAAAGTGCGCCAGCGGCTAACGCAGCGGTCTTGATTAGTGTGAGGTCTGCGTTCAGGTGATCGCCGTGCAGCTTATTCAGAGTCTCCGTGTCGACGAACTGGTGAATGGGGTTGACGCATTGTGTGAACAAAGCGAGCAGGTAGCTTGTAGTACTTCGTATGTCCGTCCGGCTAGATCCGGAGGATTGTTCCCAGGAGCTTGGGCTAGGGATAGTCGTAGAAGGCATATGCTTCTGTCCACCCGTGCTTAGATCCTCCCAGTGGGAGACAGGGAAACAGAAATTTCCCGACGGTCCAATAAACGCTTCTTCCCCATTGCTTTCAATACTCATACGCCAGATCAGGGCGCTGACGTCTTCGATCGCAGTCGACATGTTGTCTGGTATAGCAGAAGCAACAGTAGCAGGATCTGCCGTATTGTTATGGGAATTCGCACAAGCCTCCTTGCGTCCGAGCCGGACGTTCTCGGTCAAAGTGACGGCGTTGACGGGTTGGGGTCGATGCAACTCCTCTTTGAGCATCGCGATCTGATCTTCCAGCCCCCTCACATAGTCCGCGTCAACTCTACGCCTGCCATGATGGAAAGATATGTTAGAACCGGGGCCGAAGACTATTCAATGGGGATGCAGACCTGTTGCGCTTTTCGGTATTGTACTGGCAAACTGCACGCTTGGTTATACACAACGAGCAAGCAGGACGCAAGCCATCACACTGGAGAAAGCTCCCTCATTACCAATCATTCACGGGGCTATTGAAGATGTGGCGTGAAGGCCGATTTGATGCTCTTACCTTGCGCTTCCGTCTGCGGCAGGTCTCACAGGCCACCGAGACGCGAGAATTTGAGCTATTGGAGTCCATAATGTGGGACTCGATAAGGCTCAAAGCTTGAGGCGGAATCTTCGTCGGTTTGAGGTCTTCTTCCTTCAGTGGTGACACATAGCAGTGTGGTATCAAGAAGGTGATTTTACAGTAACTTGATGGTTGATTTGTATGCAGAGAGGAAGAGGATGATAAGCGATGCTGGAATCACGTAAGGCAACGCGATAAGCGATAAGGAAGCAACTGCTGCCTGAATAGTAGGGCATAAAGCGCCAATCCACATACAGAATTCTGCCAGGCGGTGGGATCTGCTGCTGTGCCTGATCTCTCCAACCGTTCATCACTTTTGTAAAAAAAAAAAAAAGAAAAAGAAAAAAAAAGGGGAGAAAATAAATACCGTATTGTGATGGGATTATGAGTATTTGTTTCCATTCTAAGACTATAATAAACAAAAAATTAGTAAAGAATTTAAATAGTTTAAGCTTAAGATTTAATTTTCTGAAATATTTAGTTTAAGTGCCGCTTCCGATTCTCTAGGAACAATTGCTTTTCTTCAAACTTAGGAAGAATATATATGTCTGACTAATTCGGGCAATGAAAGAACCAGGAAACTGCTGGAGCGGGTGAAAACATGTGCGGTAGAAAGTGGTACTGAGCAAGAGTCAGCCAAACTTCCCGACTGTAAAACAGCCTGATAAACCCGATACCGGTTGTAGAAGCTGAAGCCCGAGGGTGGCAACATGAAGGACAACAAAAGACAAAAGCAACTCTGGACCTTTTATATCCCACTCACCATGGCGCAAGATAAGAGACTGCGTGGCCATACCGGCAAACAAACCAAAGACTGTGAAGTTTATAACCATTGTTGCAGATTAAGTGGTGGTATATTGCTAACACTGAACTGGGCTCTGCGAAGAGCTTCTATATTTTGAATTTTGTTTAAGGTCTTCTTTTGAACATGTTAAATGTGGAACGATGCAACCTTTTATTTTCCAGTTGAAGAAAGATACAAGGCCTAAGAACTGGGCTGTGTAGTGATTTTATGGCACTATTTTTGCCACTGCGTTCTATACAAGGAGGTGGAATGTTAACACTACTTGCTTTGGTGCGTTAAGATTGTCGTTTTTGCTACTATAATCAATCTACCGCCTTTATCTCCCCTTGCACTACTTCCATACCAGGAATGATCTGAGGGTCATCAGCAAATAATACTCAGAGAACAAAATAAAACCGGCAGATCTAAAACTTGGGAAAGAGACTCCACTGACAACTATGAGGGATCTAACTGAATACACAAGCCTACATGCAGCATATCTCTGAAGAATAGATAAATCCTCCTATCCTTGCAGAAATAACCACATGCATGAAGAAAGAAATCTCGATCGAAATTTGAAGTCGCACAACTCGATTAACTTTTCTTTTGGCAAGATCATAGGCAAGCAAAGAATGGGAAACTTTTCGCCACCGCGCTTCTCACGCGATACATGGAAACATGTAGTTGATATAATAGAGATTCATGATTTGCAAAGCGCTAGCTTTGCAACTCTGTAAGGGCCTGAACAAGGGTGGCGAACGATGATTGGCTGACTCTTCATACGGAATTAAACAATCTGATTGATTTTTTTAAATAGTAGTCACATGATTTCTATCTCTGAATTACGCTTCGCCGGATAGCCGGGGGGGGGGGTCTGAACGGAATGGCAAGGCCTTTTTCTAGCTGTAGATTTAGGTCGTAGGTCTAAATTAATAAAACATAGAAAGTATTAAAAAAGATAATTCAAAAGGTGCTTAAGAAGGTGCTTAAAAAGGTATTTAAAAAGGTGCTTGAAAAGGTGCTTAAGAAGGTGCTTAAAAAGGTATTTAAAAAGGTGCTTGAAAAGGTGCTTGAAAAGGTGCTTGAAAAGGTGCTTGAAAAGGTGCTTGAAAAGGTGCTTGAACAGATGTAAGTATAGGCCCCGCTAACGGCGCGTCGCAACGCCTTTGGCCAAGGGAGGAACCCGCAGGTCAGGCCCTCGTCAATTTCCAAGCTTTTATGCTCTTGATTCTACCTTATTGAAAGCCCCTATCAATCCTTAGTGAAGATGGAGTATTCTTTCAACTTTTCTGGGTCAACCTGAACATTATCTAGGAGCAGGGTCTGGTTTACAAGTTTTCGGGGCGCCTTTTTAATGTAATTCATCATTTTTGGGAGCGCGCTCGCAGCTGTCAAAGCATTCTCTTGAAATATGCAGCTGATGTGACGCCACAACCTTCCTTATTAGCCTCTTTACTTTCTACCTTCGTTGTTCCCATGGGGATCGAGTATTCGTTCGTTCCTTGGCGCCATACGCTAATCCTCTCGGATTGTCACTCGTCTGCTGATTCTGAATAGGAGGACAGAAGCTATATGATCGGTTTGTGAAGAAGTGACTATAGAACTTCCAATTGCCTGACTGTAAATCGTCTCCGGCATCGAAGATATTGTATCTCAGGCTTGAGAACTCGCCTCAGCAAGCGGGAGGGAACGGGTTGCTTCATATGCAAGCCATATAAGATGCTGAAGTCATGGTACAGAAGTATCTTACAGCAGATGAACACATCTAGGTAGATGCAGACTATGACATAGTACATTTTCATTGTCGGTATCTTCCTAATTAGATTACTTGTGCATGTAGCCATCTCCATACGTAACATCTCTTTAGAGGTGGGAGTGATCGACTCTCGGTGGCTGAAGAATCTCAGCATCACCAGGTGGCACAACTGAGAGTGATATCTCATAACACCTATCAATATAAAGGACTGAAGATGTACCTTGGTTTAGAGATTCCATCTCCGAACACGGCATCCAATCCTCTGCTTAACATCTCTCTTCACGAATGATCGGATTGTTCTTCTTGTTTGAAAATTGAAAACAGCTGATCATGGCGTCTCAAGCAGAAAATGCACAAGCTTTCTCAAACCTCTTTGCTGAAAACATATCAGTGCGAAATCTCAAACTTCCGCTCAGGACCTTACCAGGCAGCTTGCAGGTAAAGTCTTCTGGCCCGCACTTGCATCCGCTGCAAGAAAATCTAACCACCATCCAGCTTCAAGTTCCGTCATTGCCATCGGAGATTACGGCAAGAATAGTACCATATGACAATGGCAATGCGAACGACATTCCCCGTCTCATCAAATTGCTTCGTCTGTTACAGCCATGGGAGTCTGGCTGTTACCAGAGTCTCCTCACACAAGCAGGTGCTATGCTGAAATCGGTCACTGAGATGTTTCCTCTCAAACTTCCAAGTGATATACGATTGTGCCAGGCAGGCTGGCTTGCAATGTTTCTGATGGTTGATGATCTCCTGGAGTCAATCCCGTCGTCGGAATCTCAAGATTGTATTCTTGAGGCAATTGAAATGGTCAATGAATACCCCAGGGAAACCTCTATGAGTATTTTGTGCCTTAACCCAACACCAATTCGCAGCAAAAACTGATTCTCTTAGGCATTTCCTCTGGAAACGCAACCGCTTGCAAAATACACCATTCCCTCCGCGTTATATACACATGGTTTGAGGGGATTCTCGATCCTCATCTTCTCAACATGGTGACAAGAGAGATCATCAGCGTTCTCATTGGGTTTGCCATGGAAGCCCACTACAGGGGAAAAAAGTGTATAGACTTGGTTCGTACATGGCCGTTCGCACCAAGACAATCGGTATAGGTCCTTTCATGACTATGGCGATATGGGGCATTCTCGGACGTAAGATTGAGCACAAAGAGCTGAATGCCCTCATGGACAAGATTAAACATGTCGTTGGACTCCAGAATGATCTCATTGGGTTGGAAAAAGACATACGATCCGGAGAGTGCATGAATTCAGTTCTCATTTTGGCTCGCTCTGGTCAGGTCGGCGATGTTGTCAACGAACAGAAAACGATCCTCGCCCGTGCACAGAGAGTCTACGAAATGCACAACCAGTTGGTCATTGAGGCGGTGGAAATAGCTCGGAATTTCCTTTCGCGTCCAATCATTGATATGACATCGGAGGAAAAGGTCGCTGCAATGGAGACGATTCTTCTTGTCGCCCAACACCATCTGCATCGGTCCACCTCAGCAAAACGATATGACGTTGTCGACCAGTAATGAGAATGGAACGTGGGGTATGTCGATGGAAATTGCACTTTCGCCGGTGACTTACGATCAGCAGTATCGATGACTACCTCTTATACTAAGAATGCTTCAAGATTTGTCTGCTCATTACTCAAGTCCGACTTTATACAAAAATCCAGTTGTTCTCTAAAATTGCCAAATATCTTAGACAAGTAGGACCTTTCTCTCGCTTTCGGAAAATCTCGTAGAGTGATTGATCAGCCTCGCTATTTTCTTCAGGGATAAGATCACAGTCTTAAGAATCGCGTAGCCACTTTGTAGGAGATCAATTGTCAGAATGTTCTTTCGTACCTGTCTCCACAGAGCCAAGTGATAGGCCAACCCTTACAGGCTACCATTTTCGCGAGACCGTCATGCAGTACAGATGCATATCACATAGGGCCATTCTGAATCAAAATGCAGTACATCATGGACTATACTCCTCTGGCTGTTTGCTACAACATGCAAGCATATCTCGTGGGCTTTTGTCTCGGATTTCCATAGCAAAGTCAGATGCCGTGATGCTAGGCAGCAATCAGTCTAGCGCATGACGAGCTCACAGCCACCGATGCTTAATCATTAGTCTAATAGAAATAAGCACTAGCACACTAGCACTGCTATCACTATGACGATTCTAGTTAGGAAAAGCCTAAGATATCCGACCAAGGCTGCAAAATATTACATGTTTTATCTGCAGACGTGTTCCCACCCCACCACTGACCCTCGCTCACACCAGATACACTCACTCCAAGTCGTAATGGTCACCAATCCGAAGGACAAGCCCAAGGTGACTTTGGAGGCGTTAGCCGACCTCCAAGTCCCTCGCGATCTGTCCATCTCCCCGGACGGCACCAAGATCGCCTATACACTACAATCCTTCAGCAAGAGCGGCGAGCATGCCACCTCATCGATTTGGATTGCGAAAGTGGGCGAGGAGAATAGCAGTCGCCAGATCACCTCGGGCTTATTCCACGACGAACAGCCCCGATGGTCTCGAGTCGGGGCGACCATCGCCTTCAAATCGGATCGCCACCGGCCGGGCACCAGCTCCGCCATATATGTGTTGCCGGTCGACGAGGGCGGCGAGGCGTACCCCGTCACTCCGGTGGACCGCGAGAAGCCCATTGTAGCGTTCGAATGGGATGCTACCGGCACGAGGATTGCATACACCAGCGCAGACGAGAAAACAGACAACCAGGTGGCCAGGGAGAAAGCGAAAGATGATCCGACGGTCTGGGGGGAAGACGACGGGGAATATCTCCGCCTGAGGGTCGCTCGTGTATCCGACACCAGGCAAGTCACCACGATTGTCGCGGGTCGTCGCCATGTCCATGGCTTTTCGTGGAGCCCGGACGCCCAGCAGATCTGCTTCGTGGCGCACCAAGGGCCCGATATCAATTCCCCTGGGTTCCATGGCGCCGAGATCTGGATCACATCGACCCCTGGACTGGAGTCGTCGCAGCGGATGGCCCGATTCCCGGGACCGATCAGCCAGATTGCGTGGGGCAGCTGTGGCGTCTACTTCGTAGCCGGCCATGTCCCGACGCACTGCCTGACCTCCCTCTCGCTCTACGAACTGGATCTCGACCAGGGATCCTATGCAGAGCGCACCGAAGGCGATGCAGAGCACTGCTGCATCACAGTCCAAAAGAACAGCCAATCGCGCCTCTCCTGCCGGGTCCAGCGGTACCTGGCCGACGAGTTCTACTCGATCAACGACGACGGCACGCGGACCAAGGTCTACAGCGAAGAGTGCGAGATGACCTCGTTCGACCTCCTCCAGACGCCGGACAACAGCGCCATCCTAGCGATAACGAAGGGCGACGGGTCCCATCCCGAGGAGGTGTTTTCCGTGACGGCGTGGGCGGGCACCGTCCAGCTGTCCGCGCACAATTCCGCCCTCGCCGCGCTCCAGATCGCCAGGTCGTGGGCCATCGCCATGCACGCCGCGGATGGATACTACCTCGATGGAATGATCTACGTCCCCTTCACCTACAACCCCAAGGATGGGCCCCTGCCCACCATACTCATGCCGCACGGAGGCCCCTACTGGCGGATCACCACCGGGTTTGCGGTCTGCCACTGTCTCGAGGCTCCGGTCCTGGTGTCCATGGGCTACGCGGTCCTGTGTCCCAACTACCGCGGGGGGAGCGGTCGCGGGGAAACCCACGCGGCGTATGCTCGAGGCGGGGTGGGCACCGCCGACTACACCGACTGCATTGATATTCTGCGATACAGTATCTCCCAAGGCTGGGTGGACCCTGCCCGGGTGGTCATCGGCGGGTGGTCGCAGGGCGGCTTCCTGTCGTATCTGGCCATCACCCGCGAGGCGTTTCACTTCCGCGGCGCCATCTGTGGGGCGGGGATATCAGAATGGGACTCGATGGCGATGTCCAGTGATGCGTACTGGATGCAGGGGGAGGTGGCCGGCGGGGCGCCGTGGGATGTGGATGATGATGCCGCCGCCGTCACGCCGGATCCAGACTCGACGAGCGCGGCTAAGAAATGGATTAGTGACACCCACGGTCGGCGGGGCAGCGCACTCTGGCACATGCGGAACGTGACGACGCCCGTCTTGATCCTGCATGGTGAGAACGACGTGCGGGTGCCGGTCGCCCAGGCCATCGCCTTCTATCGCGCGTGTGTCCGCAACGGTGTGCCGGTCGAGATGGTGACGTACCCTCGCGAAGGACACTTTGTTGTGGAACGGAGACATCTGCTGGACATGTGGGCGCGGATGAGGAGGTTCTGTTATCGAAACTTGCAGGGAGTGACGCTGGGAATGCATGAAGGGGGGGGGGGGACGAAAGAGATAAATACTGGGTGAGACCATCAGAAAAGAAAGTAAATGAATAGACGACTGCAAAGAATTGAGAGCAACCCTACCTTATCCCCTACATAGCCCTAAATGAAGCATCCCTTAATCCCCACAACCCATCTTGACTGGAATTCACCCCCTCCACCTTCCGCAGAAGATCCCTCCGATCCGCCCGCCGGCTTTTTTTTCACCGAAGCAGGTTCCGTGCTTCCGCGACTCCTTGGCCCTACATGCTAAAGCTGGGCTCACTTAAGGGTATTAGTTAACTTGTCGTGCCCGAAATAGCCGAGACACGCTCCCGAGTCACGGACCGAGTCAATCGGAAAAGCAACGGGTCCACTCCGTGCTTCGATGGACAATAGGGAGTAGAGTCCTAAACGAACCCAAGTAGACTCTCAACCCAGCACCAATCCCAAAACAACCCCCCCCACCCCCCCCAACCCAAGAAGAACCCATTGTAGCACCACGATCAACCAACCAGTTAAGCCTGCATTGTGTTCGACGAACATATGCATAGGCCCATCAATCGCGACGACTCTGGCATGTCTGTCCCTATCACGTGACACCCCATCAATCTCGATGCTCTCCACTCAATCTCTTGCCCCTCCTTGCTTCCCAGAGGACGAACGCAATTGTAAGATGTCCAGAGCCGATAGAGTCACAGGTGCGTTTCCGAGTCTCGACTGATGTCGATGTCCATGCATCACCGTGTGAGGTCCGTGGATTGTAGCGACTACTTTATTTTCGAAGATAAACTTGAAACACCCTGTCCGGAACAGGAACACGGTAGTCGAAGGGGAGCACTATATATATCGGCAGAAGTACCAAGAACAAGCGACGTTCAAAGGATCTGCGTCGATCGATAAGGGGTTCATCTGCGAAGCGGTCAATAGGGCGGAGTAATCCGGCCTCGTGCCGCAACGCGGTTACCAGGCTGCTTCAACATGTTGATAATTCAGTTGGTTACCACCACCAAGAAAATCGAGAACACGTTCCAGCACCTTACATCTGAGGCTTTAGAACCGTTGGCAGGATCCCTACCTAGCACAAGGGGGATCATCTGTTAGAAGTATTCTCTTGTTCTTTCTAGGAAACTTCTTTCGACACACAGAGGTCCGGGCGAGTACATTGCATCCTTTGCATCACGATGTGTACCTCCCATCTCCCTACATCTACGATGAGAACATGCAATTCCCCTCAGTGAACACCTTTCAGCTATGCATTCATCCGTTCCGTCTACTGGAACGATCTCTCATTCGCTTCAGACAGAAAACAAACCGCCAGGCACGAGCTACTTCGTCCCGTCGAGAGACATACAAGTAATCCACAAAGCAACTACACTTCAGAAAAGGAGAGGAGTAAAACTTTAAAAACAAAAATAATTGTATTTACAATCCGACTTCTGCAGAGTCATGATTCGTGATATCCGAATCGATCAGATCTATCTTATCAAAAAGTGCATTCGTACAAGGCCTCGAGTCCAGACCCTGGGGTATCTTCTAGCATCATCCATCATGTCGTCCCTCCTTTGTTTTGTGTCTCAAGACACCCAGTCTATCCATTAATGTAAAGGGGTATTTTTGTGTTGGTTCATCAAACTTTTTGTCGTTACGTCACTCAGCCAGCAATTTACAGCTGCTCGGCCCAGGGGGCGGAACCAGGCTGCATCTGATTGAGCCACTTGACGAGTTCAATGACCTCGGCGCGGCGCTCCTCCTCAAGCTGATCGGGGTCAGAGAGGACGGCCTGGAAGATGGGCAGGAACTGAGGGGTCAGCTCGCGGACGGTGGGGTCCTCCCACTTGTCTGTTGTGAAGTTAGTTGGATGTTCAATGGATGTATGTCCTCGAAAGTACTTACACATCTGGCAGATCATGCGGAACAGGGGGTCGTTCTCCTCGTAGTCGTTCTTGAGGGGAAGGATAGAGACGAGGACGGGGAGGACATCCTTGATAGGGACGCTCTCACGGTGCTTGAGGATCATGCGGGACAGACAACCGGTGGCGTTGTCCTGCAGACGGGAGGCGCTCATGTGGAGGCACTGCTCGAGACGGGAGAGGATGGTGGGGATCTCCTTGACGATCTGGTCGTTGGCGTTGGAGTGCTCGATGAGACGACCAACGGCGTAGGCAGCGTTGGAGCGGGTCTGGGGATCCTCATCGCCAAGACGGTGGACGAGAAGCTTCAAGAAGGCAGGGGTGAACTGAGTCACAGCGCCACCCATGCCGTTGATGCACTCAGCGAGGACACCGACAGCGGTGGCACGCTCAAGGGCCTCGGAGCTACCGGCGTAGCGGATGATGATCTTCTCAAAGACCTTCCAGAGCTCAGCGAAGGTCGCGCCAAGAGCAGCAGCCAGACCAGAGACAACGTCCAGACCGGTGTCAACAACGACCCAGTCGAACTCGGAAGTCTCCTCACCGGCCTCGAGGGTCTCCTCCTCGGGACCGAACTCGAGCTGGCAGGGGTGCTTCTTGGTGATGATATCAGTGATCATGGTGATGACGTTGTGCAGGGTGGTCTCGTTGGCGATGAGAGCAGGACCGCAGTAGCGGAGGTTCTCAGCCATGTTGCGGTTGATGTCGGCGACGGTAGCCCTAAGATTGCCTGGTTAGAAACTATGGTAACCAGAGAATGAAGTGATAGAAGCAGCAAGATAATCAAAATATCAGAAGGTTGTGAGTAAATCGTGGTTGACAGCATGCACAACTTTTGTGTGTCTGAGTGAGCTGGGTAAACGAGGTGATCATCATATAAATTGACCCGCATGAGCGGACAAGACCTTTGCGTGCAGAACAAAAAAGCGGAAATATGTATACGTACCGGTCATCTTCCTCAGTCCACATCTTAATGGTGCAGGTCATAAGGATCTCACCGAACTTCTGTACCTCACGAGCAGGCTCAACCTGAAGGGGAAGACCAGGCTTCCACTTCTCCATCTGACCACTCTCCTCAGCAATGCAGTACAGCATAGCGTAGGAGCGGTGAAGAGTGCTGATGGTGCTCTTGCGGACACCCTCGTAAGGATGTTCAGCGAGAGGGAGAACCATCTCGATAGTCTTCTCGAAGAAGGGAAGGTACGCGGCCTTGGTGTGAGTGACAAGGTCACCAATGACCTCGACGGCAATCTCCTTCTCCAAAGAGAGGGGAGTGGTGGCAGTGATGTCGTCCCAGGCATCCTCGTCCTCATCGACATCAACATCCTCAATCTCACCATCCTCACCGACAGGCTCATCGTCATCATCAGCGCTGGCGACACGGACCTTGCGGCCACCGATGGTCACCTCCTGGCCGACGAGATCCTTAGCGGCCTCACCAAGGGAGACATCCAGATCAGTCTCGTCCTGCTCGATGCAAGCGAACAGACCCTTGACAACGCCGTCGAGGAAAGGAGAGAAGTGCTCGGCGTAGACCTTAGACATGGCACCCCAGAAGATGTAAGTGCTCTCCTTCAGGCGGGAGTGACCAAGGTGGAGAGCCTCCTCGGTAGCACGCATGAGGGGCTCGACGTAGGGCTGGTAGCGCTCAGGACCAGCAGCGGCAGCCATCTCGCCCATAGCGTCGGTGACGCTAGCACGAAGGTCGAGCTCCTCCTCGCTATCCTTGACCGTGGCATACTCCTGAAGGAGGTGCATGGACTCATCGAAGAAGGACAGGAAGGAGTCACCAGCAGAAGAGGCCAAAGAGCCGAGAGCACCGGCAGCAAGACCCTTGATTCTGAAGTCGGGGTGCTTGAAGAGCTTGTGGAGGATGGGAACCAACTCGTTCTGGTAGGGAGCAACATCCTTCTCATCGAGACCATCAACGACGGCATCAATGGCGCTGATACCAGCCTTCATGATGTCAATGGTAGGACCATCCTCCTCACCCTTGTACTCCTGCATGGCGCTGGCCAAGTTCTTAAAGAGCAAAGGCATCAATCTCTCGTGCTCCTGGCTCAGATCCTCGGCCAGATCGTCCGCGAGACGAGCAACAGCGTGGAGGGTAGCCTGTCGAACCTTGGGCTCGGGATCAGCCAGGAGCTGAAGGACCATGGGGAAGATCTCCTTCATCTGAGTGCTGATAAAGTCGGGAGCACCCTCAACAACCATGCCGAGAGCCATGATACCAGCACGACGGTAGTCGGGGTTGGTGTTGTTGAAATACTGGCCAAGGGACTGGAGCAGGGGAACGACGACCTGGCTGGGGGGCAGGCTCTGGGCAAGCATGTCCAACAGACCAAGGGCGGAGCGAGCAGGGGTGATGTCGTCATCGAGGGCGGAAGCGTCACCGAGCTCAGTGACAATCTGGAGGGCGCTGCGGGTGAGCTGCTCACCGATGCGCATGCCCTGAACCTTCAGCTTACGGTACTGGATGCACTGCATCAGGAAACTGATGGCCTGAGTACGGGTGTCCTCATCAGCCTCAGTGTTGGAGGCGATCTCGTTCATGAAGACAACGAGGTCCTTCAGGTGAACAGTCATGAGAGCAGGGTCGCAGCCGAGCAGGGTCTGGAAGACCTCGAACGCCTGCATGACCTCATCATCCTGCTCCTTGTCAATGGCATCCTTGAGGACAGCCACCATGGAGGGCAGCAGGTTCTGGAAAGCGCGAACAGGGCCCATGTTCTCCTCAGAGTCCAGGTACATAGCGAGCTTGCTCAGAGCCATGAGGGTGTTGATCCGGACCTCCGAGCTCTCAGGGTCACTGATGGTCTTGCTGAAGAGGTTGAACAGGTCCTCGAACTTCTCCTCGAACGCGTCACCCAGAGTCTCCAGAATGGTCAACAAGATGTAGACACCGACAGCACGCTCTTCCTTGTTGCCACTGCTAGCAGCCTGCAGCAGGAAGTTGGGCAGCTCAGCCCACTCGCCATCGTTCAAGTCGATCTTGGCGATGGCCGAGATGACACGAGCAACGGAATGGCGGACCAACGAAGAGGCCTCGCCGAGAGCAGAGCGCAGCAGCTGCTCACGGATCTGGGGCTTCTGGTTGGCCTGGACCGCAACCCAGTGCTTGACCACGAGAGACCGGGCCTCGACGGCAGCCAACTGTCTCAAGTTGGCATCCTCGTGGCTGGTGGCAATCTGGATTAGGAACACAAGGGACTCGGGCTGCTTGTAGAACTCGCGCTGGAGGACACCGGTAGCCTCCTTAACGTTGCCCTGAGAGGCTACACAGGACAGTTAGCTTTCTCCATTCACAACCAGCAGGGCTGTTGCAGTGTCCAGGAAGAACTCACGATTCAGGACAATCTGAAGTTGTTGCAAGAACCGTTGCTGATCCATGATGTGTGTAACGAACTTCTGTGAAGATCGGAAAGATTTTTGGAAAGATCCCACGGAGGGGTAAAAGAGCAGAACCTTCTTTTCAGAGAGGAACTGACGAGTTTGACGAGAGCCGGCTACACAAGCTGGACAACTCGTAGGGTATCACAAAAACAAAGATGGCACAAAAAGGAAAGAGAGACACACAACAAGGAAAAGGGAGATAAGAGGGAGAGGGAGAGGGAGAGGGATGAAGAAGGAAGAGGGAGGAGAGTGAAGAAAAGAGAAGAGGAAGAAAAAGAAAAGGAGATGGAGGGGAAAAAAATTGGCAATAAATGGGCGGAGAGACGGAGAGAGAGAAAAAAAAAAAAATTATGGGTGGGTAAAATTGGAGAGTTCAGCGGTGCGCATTTAGCTTCTTCCGGGCTAGCGGTCTGTACCACTCGGTCTTGCGGCAGTCTCAGGGTAACTTACACCACCACAAAAGAGTGTTTTGGTGTGGTAATGGCAAAGGTAATGGTAAACATGGTTACTTCTTTGGGCCGCTGCCCGAACTCCCACAGTTTATGCTCACAACAACATTAGCAACAGCAACATTATTAGGTGGATCTACACTAACTACTGTACAGAAACGGTTTACATGCAAGATGCATTCACTTCCACATGGGCCCACGGAAGGCTGCATGCATTCGCCTCGACTTGATCTCATGGTCGGCAACGAACCGATGGGCAAAAGGCAATGATTGATCCAATCTACTCACGTTTTGATTTGCTGCATGAACTGCTAAGACGGTGGGGTACTACCTAGTACCTGATGTACTTCCCACAGCAGTCAACGCAACCTCTCGGATTCTGTGCCATATGATCGATCCTAGCATGTCCACTAACACGCCGACTTCGTGACCGAAGCGAACAAAACTCAACCAATGGGTAACCTGGAACATCAGCAGTACTTACCCGCGGATGAAAAAGCATGCCAGACCCGACCCTAACAGAGAACCGGACCGTATAACCATCTCGCATTATGTCCAAAGAAAAGCTCACAAAGCAACCCTACAATAAAACTGCACGCTTTTGTTTTGAAAGCATCCAGCACATCCAGCGGAGTTCTCCCCTCTTCACAAAGGCTCCAAGAACCGAGCTGTCTAATCAATAACAATACAGAAAGCCGTCTCCTCACTCACTCGAGAACTATAAACGCGGCCAGTCGAGTCCAAATTACTCTAGGATATCACTACAACACACCCAGTACACCCTCCACGCATCAACCCCCGTGATCTACCATGCCAGAAGAAGCAGCGAGTAGGTTGCCTGTCGCCGCAAGGCTAAGACTCAGGCAGGACCGGTGGCTCGAGACGCTCGGCAAAGTCTTTCTCGTGAGCGAGGGCTACATCGTCAGAAGGCCCCCATCGCTCCTCGAAGACCTGTACAAGGTGATCACCGTCGAGATCTTCGGCAACGGTCGATGCTTCGTGGTGGTGATCATCGAGCCCCCCGTGGAAGAGGAAAACCGGTCCGCTTGCTGGGAGAGCCTGGACGCGCTCCAGCGGGAGTATTGGTTCCAGCCCGTCAGGGGACAGTCAAGAAATCAGGACATCTACGGGGCCCTGCAGATGGGGGACGAAGTGATCTTCACGAAGAAGGACCAGGACCCGCCAGCGAAAGACGGGGGACACGTGCCAGCGTCGAGAACCTTCGAGGCCGAGACGGTACTGAGCTGGGACGCGGATATCTCTGTGATCGAGTTCCACCTCGAACAAGTGAAGTCCAAAATTCAGATAGCTAGGCTTCGTCGATTGCTTGGCTCGGTATCAAGGATGGTGGTGAGACAGGGAGTGTTTGAAATTGCATGATCCAGGTAGGAAGAGCTAACTAGTGAAAACCGCAAAAGCTGCAGGTCTAGTTATAGATTGCTGCCAGATACCAGATACAGAGTTCATTGTACTCGGAAACCAGACTCCTTGGATGACAACCATGACAACTCCAAGCCCCCGAACATTGCAATGATAATCAAGAATGAAAAGAATATGAAACGATATTTCAGACCACTATGCGTGACATGAGTTGCAAAAAACCATCTCCTCCGTTGGACATTATAGACCACACCTACAAACAGGAAGTTTTCCTCCAAGATCCCGTAGCTTCCCGTACTACATTTAATATTCATCAGAGTCGTAATCGTCATCGACCAGCAGGGAACGGTAGCCCCGCGCAGCGAGATTCTCCTCGAGGCCTCCGTCGGCTCCAGGATCAGCGTATCCTGTGTTTATTGTCAGCAACGAGTGTCTCATACAATACTGCAAAGCTGTCACTAGTTCCTTACCTTCTCCGCCGAAGTAACTGAGTGCCACCGGCAAGAACACGAGAGCGTGGGTGGCCGCAAACAGGACCAGTGCCAACCAAACCCGGAAATAGTAGATCTCGAAGATCTTGCTTCGGGTGAAAGCCAGGACACAGACACCGAGGAGCTTCGTCACTGTGATGCCGCTGAAAACACTCCCGCCGACGTTGACCAAAGCTGTCCATGCCCGCGCATCCTTGCCCCGGAACTTTGTCGGCACCTTCTCCAGGATAGCCCGCGAAGGGAACATGAATGCACGAGCAATATGTGCACAGAATTCGACCGCAATTCCCACGCAGATGATCAGGTTGACCAGGGAGACAGCATTGAGGGAAACGCCGGCGACTGCCATCGCCCCAATAATGTCGATCATGATCATTACCACAGTTGTCGTCACCACCGCTCCAGTAGCCACGGATCCAAGCAAGGCAGAAGTGAGGATGAAAATGATAGCAATTGCGCATCCAAGCAAGGTTCCGGTCAGCCGGATGATCGACACATATTGATCGAAGTAGATATAGGTTTTCGAGTAGGGAAAAACGTCAATATCATGCTCTCTGGAGAGACCGTCAGCGATGCGCCGTGCTGAGATGTAAGACTTGATAAAGTCATCTTGGCTTCGGAGAGGAGTGTGGGTTGTTCTAAAATGGGTGGCATTGGTCATGATGCGTTTGGGATCGAGGACGAGCGCATTGCTGTAGGGGGCTTTGCCTCCAAGAGGGCAAGAGGCGTCCGTCGGAGCTTGAATCCATTTCTCAGCATAGTGCATGAACTCCTGCCCTGTGGGCATGCCATAAAGAGAGATGTTCCATGCCGGAGTCCTGTCCTCGAAACACACTTCGCCGTCCTCGGTGCAGCAGTCGTCTTGCGGGTTCAACCAGTAAAAAAAGTCATCGATCCAGCTCGCAGTTGATCCGGAGATGTAAGAAACGTTCGGACGCTTGGATTCTTGTTCCAGGACAAATGGCAGGGAGAACTCTTCACAGGTCGTGAACCGTCCACACAATTGTTGTTGATGACGACGTTCAGTGACGTTGACATTTCTTGTCACAAAGTACACTGGTGGTCCGCTTCCAAAGTAAGCGTCCAGGTCGTTGAAGTACTGCACAAGATAGGAGTCGCTAGGCAGAGCAATGCGCTGGTCCAGGCCAAGGGCGACCTCGGGAACCAAAGCGATACCAGCCGTCAGAAGGCCTAAGAATGTAATCACCACGAAGACTTTGACCTTGCGCTCTAGCAGGAAAGTCGCATAGACTTTGCGGATAAATGATTGCAAGATACTTTCGCCATCGTGCTCGTCCAGTACCTGGTCTTCAGACATCCCAGAATGGGCCTTGCGGACGGTCAGGCACGGGAAGCAATCAGCGCGCAAACTTTCGACGCGTCTTTGATTCAGTGCTAGAACCGAGATAAACATGGTAACCTGCAAGACGGCATTGATGAAGACAGCCCCTGCTGCATAAACTGCAAAGTTCTTCACAGCCGGCATTCCGACGAAGACGCCCAGAGCAAAGGCAATAGTCTCCGTTGCAGCGGAGAGGAAGATACTGGGGCCGATGCGGCCGACTGCACGAGCAATTCGCTCGTCGATTTCTTCGTCCGGATGGCTGACGTTGATCCTTTCAAATTCGTGAACAATGAGGAAGATGTTGTCCACTCCGACAGCTAATACCAGGAAGGGGATGACCTCCGCGATGATCAATGTGACCTTGATGCCTGCCGCGGAGAACAGGCCGACCGAAGCAGACACAGACATCAGAACGATGATGATGCCCACAATACCAAGGGTGAACTTAGATTGCACCAGAGCGTTAGCCGGGTTCGTGAACAGCGACTTCCAGGTCACCGTGACCGATCCCAAGGCCAGGGACGCGTAAATGAACATGAAGATATAGCTGATGACCACGATCTTGGCATCTGTGTTGCTGGACTTGTTCAATTCTTGCTCAACGCTGATCTCTGTGTTGAAAGACACACGGAGACCGCGGTCTTCGGCCTCTTCTTGTACGACTCGAAGAATCTGCTGGATGGTCTCTTCCCAGTCGATGGCGTTCGCTTCCTCTTCTGTGCCTTGGGCATAATTATTCACCACCCAGGTAGTGAACAACGCCTGCGCATCGAGCACATTGCCGGTACTCTCATATCCACCAAGAATCATTTCGGGTCTAAGAGGCTGCCCGAAGGCGGGCAAACAGCTTACATCTCCAGGGGACTCGGTACAATGCTGGAGTCGTTCTTGCCAGGTGTCGGGGTCTAGATTCGACAACGAGCCATCAAAATAACCGGTCAAAGACTGGACCACACAAGCATCGCCAGTAGGCTTGAAGCAAACGTCGTCGAGAAGGAGCCCCCGATCTTGGGACAATGTTCGGTGCACCCTCAGCTCTACACCAAACCACCAGCTGAGCGTATCGTAGCTCAGCACTGGTCCGGTATCATTGACCAGGAAGGCTTGCTCGGCTCGGTAAAATGGTCCGAAATGCTCATCGAAATAGGCTTTCTCCTGCGCGGCCGCCGAGGTCGGACCCACCCACAGGCGAACCGGGTCAGTTTCGACAGCAAAACGCAGCCATCCCAGGCTCAAAACTCCAACCAGTATAGTACTGGTGATGATAGTAATTGCAGGAAACCGAGCGCAGGCACCACCGATCCGATTGAACATTCGGTCCAGGGCGGAGTTGAGCTTGTAGACACTGTTAGGCTGTTCAATGTAACCGCCTGCTCGCACAATGTCGCCTTCGTCCTCATCATCGCTAGGGGCAGGATCCTGCAGAAGCCTAGCCCGCTCAGGCTTGTGATACCGCCGCTCCCGGTAGGTGAAGTAGCTCGATGCGGCCACGATGGCCAATAGGAAGACCGAGTAAATGAGGATTGCTGCAAAGGACAAGCATGGGAGCAGGCCGACGTGACAGTATCGATCTGTCTCGACGGCCGGCAGTTCCGGACAGACATCCGGACAATCGACGCAGGAGCAGCGGAAGGCCTCGTCGGGGTCATTGCATGCTTTGGGCTTGATCGGCAAGGCTTCCATGCCCTGCGGGTCCGAACCTGCAGGTTCCGTCCTGAAGTTGATCTGGAAGGGGCTTCCCAGCAGCTTCTTGTCTCCCAGAAACTTCATGAAATGGGGATAGTCCTTGGCGCCTCCTCCGATGAAGTCAATGGCCTTGCCACCTGAGGCGCCGTTCTTCACGTTCTTGCAGCTGTCGTAGAAGCCACTCTGGTATTCCTCCGACCAGACATTGTCAATTTCCGTGACCAACTTCTTGCCCGAGCCATTCTGCTCAATCTGCGTGACATTGACGAAGAGAGACTGGTCGGGCGAGCAGGTAAAAGTACAGAAGATGTTAAAGAAGTTCTCCTTGCAGGCGGGACATGAGGCGATGATTCCTTCGGCGAGTTTGAGGTTCTTCGAAAGCGCATCGATCTAACGGTACGGATCATCAGAGATGTTCCTGCGTTGGTGGGCAAAACGGGGTGGCATGACATACCTGTTCATCCTCACAACACACGGGCCCATCCTGCCACTTGCTACCGCACAGGTCGACCAGCTTCTTCCTCACCGCCGCTTCGGGCTGTTTGGCACGCCCATTGTCGGGACAAGGGAGCTCTCCGCCAAAGAATGATTTCTTGCCGCAATGCCCGCGAAGGGCGCAGCGGCCGGGCTCGTGGATATCGGTGTAGCCGGAGCTGTCCTGGGCCTGAGTCTGGGGTAGGAGAGCGCCAAGACCCGCGAGGATGGGGATCAAGCGGTATCCCCGCATTGCTCCTGAGGGGGGATAAGCTGTAGCTAGCGGGACGGAGGGGGGTGAGAATGTGATGGCATAAGAAGAATACTGAATAAAATTGATGCAAAGAGGGATGAGGAATCGAGAGGGTGATGGGGCGATGGGGGGAGGATGAGTTGTAAATAAGGTGCGGAGGCACCGAGCAAGCAAGCAGGCAAGCAAGCAAGCAGGGGAGCTTCGGAATGACGACCAGCCGCGGTTCGTACGTAAGCGGCGCTGGTTGGTTAGTCAAGTTACTCCATTGACCCTGGTTGCCTTAGCCGTCGGGCGGGAAAGTCAGGCACATCACTCGCATTTAGCCGTACGTACTCATGTTTCAGGCAATGGGGCAGTATGGCGTACTCCACTCGAAGCCGGAAGCGGTGAGACCTGCCGGGCGGTGATAAGTCTTTCTGCCACAGCTGACCCTTCCAACCAGTGTTTAGTACAGTTTCCAGTTCCCAGAGTCTGTACGACGTTGATATCTTTTGAAGCAAGCTCAAAGTAGAAAGCGGTGAGATTTGGTGTTATGCATTCTGCCATCGCCTGGTATGATGGTCTCTGTAGCACTTACCATTACCATTACCATTGACCTTTGACCCTAAAGTCCGGATATATGGAAGCGGTAATGAGCCCGTTGACTCACATTTCGGTAGAACCATGATGATTCTCTTCCCTCATCAATGCATACTCGAAACAACATGTACGGCTTGGACTACCGCAATGACCCGATATCGCATCATACCATGAGCCAGGCCATCATCATGCGGCACGATGCCGACAAATATTTTTTCAATCAGAGACTTGTTACTCATAGTGCGTATCCTCATGCGCTCTGCTAATATCCAGCGCGCTACGCGATTAGCCTACTGACACCTCTACCCAATTCATCATGCCATTCTGGTCTCGGAAGGGGTCAAAGACCAAAGCGGCGGATAGGTCCAAGTCAGTGGACAAGCCCGAGTCCGTGTCCAGGGAGGAAGAATGCAGGGAAAAGTACAACTACGCGAGGAACCGGTATCGTCGACTGGTTCCCACCGACACCGTTTGTAAAACCGGTGAACAAGAAGAGGTCGAGGAATGGGCCGAACAATACACCAAAGAGGTAGCACTGGGCATCCTCATCCTCCAGCGCCTACATCGTCTGCAGTTGCTCGGGTCTCTCACCTCAGAAAGGCTCCGCCGGCACGGGGAAACTCTCACCAAAGTGAACGACAGCACGCCACCACCGGCTTACAGTAAGCCGGCGCAGGGGCATCCTCACCTGGAAGCCGAGGTGATCGAGCTCCGCAGAGACTACTGGAAGCATCAACTTCGGTTGCAGGACGAGTACCGACGGCGTCCACATCCGACAAGTCCACGCATGGACCTGTTTCTGGTCGGCCATGAATATAAGAATCAGTATGGCTAGCCGTACGGATTCGTGGACTCGCAACAGGAATGTGCCAATGCAGGGGGCTGCTGCGCACGGTCGTGCGGGTGTTGTCAGAGGGGGCTTTATGCCATAGAAGCCAAGAAGGATCGAACGAGCCCCGTCTACGGCCACTGCACTCTGGAGTGCGCTTGCTGTATCCAGTTTCGCGAGTGTTATGTGCCTGATGAGCGTCTGTCGCCTCCGAAGACCAGGCCTCTGCTCAGATGAAGGTGTCTTGTGTATAGGGCTCTGCATTGGGTGCTCTATCAGGATCGCCTTGTTCTTTATAATCTGAGGGATATAGATGGCGCCACCTCGGTCTGCCTATCCACAGGCTCTACCCGAGAAATCGCTAATCGCTCGCTTTGCCCCTACTGCTTTATACGTCGTTTGTACTGGCTTTCTTCTCTCTTCTCTCTTCTCTTGGAAACCTTCCATCTCCATTTAATCTCTCTTCAGCCTGTTCAACAATCTTTGAACTTTCTGCGACCCTTCTTTAAGTCCTCTTCAACCTCCATGATACCGCTCGCCATCTTCTAGCTTACAACCAATCCAAGAACTAGATTCCTGCCAATATCCAATGCCAACCACTCCTCCAACCAAACCTAAACCACCCCCAGCTCCATTCCTACCTTATATCCCGTAAAAAGGAAGGTCCTACTACCCCCCCAACACCCGAAAAAACACCCCCTCCACCCCCTCCCTAACGCCCACCCCACCCCTCCCCAGCAACATCCCCCTGAGCGCCCCAAACTTCCAAGCCGCCAGCCCCCTCCACACACTCCCCACAACGTCCACCGCACTAGCCTCGGGATCCCACCGATCCGCCGGCACCACCGCATTCACATCCGCCCCGAACTCCACAAACAGCCGCACGATCTCCGCCACCCGGCCGATCCCCTGCGGGTCCACATCGTAGTACCGCAGCCACCGACGACGCTCCGCCTCGCGCAGGCCCTCCAGCACATCGATCCAGGGCGTGCGCGCTCTGCCCTGGAGGTTGATGTACGGCTGGTTCGGGTCGATGCCCGCCTCGAGCAAATCGCGGATGATCTGGGGGCTGGACAGCGGGTAGACGGTGTGGCGGCGGTGGGCGAGAAGATGTGTTGTGTGGGGGAGGAGGGGGATCACCCTTTTTGATGTTGGGTCGTCTTCGCCGTCGGGATGAAGCGTGTCGTCGTCGTCGTCGTCTTGAAGGGGGTGTTTCATTGCGGGATCGGGATTCTTTGCAGGTGACGGGGGTACGGGTATGGGTACTTGGTCAGCTGCGGGTAGAGGCCGAAGTATCCCATCGCGGATTTGTTGACGGATCAACCGCGCCAACCCGAACTTCGCCGCGAGGGCGAGGAATGGGTGTTCGAAGGCCGCCCGCTTCCGCATCTCGTACGTCGAGAAGAGCGATTTGGCCCAGTGGTCGGTCTCCGCGGTGGCGCGGAAGGACCAGTGCTGGCATAGGGCGGTGTCGAAGGCGGGGATGAGGAGCAGTTCTGGCTCGGGGGAGGGGGAGAGGCGGGCGTGCGTGAAGGCAAGGGGGATGGCGGGCCACCATTCGTCGATCTGGCGGTGGCGGGTGAAAGGGTCGAGCGGGTGTTTGAGTTGGAGGATGTGGGAGGTCAGGAGGGAGTGGTGCGGGTCGAAAGTGTCTTTCAGCGGGTGGGTGAGGCGGGCCCAGATCTCGGGTTGGGAAAGGTAGTCTTTCACTGTGCGGTGGACGTATGTGACCTTGCGCTGGGCGAGGAGATGAGCTGGGGATGGGGTGGTGGCGTGGTGGACGCGGATGGTCGAGGGGTTGGGCCGGTGCGTTACGATCAGGCCTGCACATTCGTTGGCGAATCGGTTGGTTGTGAGGGAGCAGATTTGTTCGATCTGTTCGTCGCTGGCCTGTTGCACGTCTTCGGGGATGCTGAGCTCGGAGGCTTCGACTTGGTCGGCGAGGGCGAGCTCCCATAGTTGCATGGTGATGGCTTCTTCTTGGCCGGTGGCGTTGCAGGCGTCTTCGCGGGCGTTGAGGAGCTGGAAGATGCGGGAGATGGTGGTGGTTTGGTTGGTGCTCGCTTGCTCAAAGATGAAATATGTGAAGAGGTCGTCTATATTGGTTGGGTGCTGGAGCAGGGATTCATGGAGCTGGGGGAAGTCGAGATGACTTCGCCGCAACAAGGATTGGACCGCCAGTGCTGCCCAGAGAAAGACACCATCAGCCCGATTCACGATGTCAAGAATGAGCTGTGATGCCTTCTCGGGATCCTTGCTGAAGAGGGACTGGATCTCCGGATCGGCAGATAGATGGTCTCGCGAGTAATCCAGCATATCCTGGCGCGTGCAGTCGTGGAGTTCCAGCTTAGGGTTCTTTCCGAAGGCTTCACGGAATACCGGCAGCGGCCGACTGGACAGGCAGAGCTTGAGGTGAGTGAACGAGGACACGAGCTCCTGCAGAAACGAGATCACATCCTCGTGATTGCCTGCGAACTCATCCAAGCCATCGATGAACAGACAAACTTTGGCTTCCCCGGCTGTGTGCTGCATGAACCACCGCAATGCGTCCTTCAACTCCTTCAAGTCCCAGGCGACCGTCGCCTTGATCCGTTCTCGCGTAGTCAAGCGCCTGAGATGCTTCCACCGCGCCGGAAACACGACCGGGACAAGATGAGACTCCTGATCCAGCAGCTGGACCAGCAGATGACGCATTAGCCCCGTCTGGGACCTCTGCTCCAGGGTGCCACTGATCCAGAAATAGAACCCCGCTGTGATGAGTGGCTCATCCCCGGCCCATGTCGCCAGAAATGTCCTCGTGGTAGGATGGGACATCAAGAAGCGCATCAATGTTGACTTCCCGGACCCGGGCTTGCCGCTGACCCAGAAGATGCCGTCGTTGTTCCCACTGGATAGCCAATTCACCAGCGACTCCTGCACGCTAGAGCTGTGGTGATTCTCTGAGCCATGGGCAGCTAAGATCCAGTCGAAGGTGCCGTCGTGAGCGACCGCAACACTGTCTTCTCGATCAGTCATGGAACCGAACTTCAGGCTTTCGAGCAGAAAGTCCTGAAGGATCATTTCCTGGTCGGAGAATAGGGTCTCCTTGGTATATGTCTTTTCATCCTCGAGAATGCTCTTCTTCTGTCCGGGCTTCTTGCCAAAGAGCGACATCGCCTTCTTTCTAGCTGATAGCTTCCCATCTTCGTGCTGTGTGTCCGGCGGGTCCTGGTCGCGATGATCCTTGGTGGTGTCGAGCGCATCGAGTGCTTCACGGGTCGCAACGAGTTTGTTTGACTGAGTACTATCCATGTCTCAGTATGCTGACGGCTCACAAGTGTTTGAGGGCATTCTCACCTGGGTAGATTCTCCGCCGCAGACTCAATTGTGGCAATGATAGACTTGAGGCGTTCCTCCAACGTATCGACATCTTCCCGCGGCCATAGTTCTCTGAAGTTTCTCGCACTATGGGGAAGCTTGTGTTCATTGAGCTGTTCCAGAATATCGAGGCGACAAAGAATATTCTTGGTGATGACCTCACATGCATCGCGAACATTCTTGGATCGGTCCGGTTGTGTCAATGATTCTGCATTTGCCACGGAGACCCGGGAAAGCCTATCGCCCAATGCACCGAACTCAGCTGCGACAGCATCTGCATCCCAGGAGTCCGTGAACTCCGCATCATCATCGAGATCATGAATTGCATACAAGTTCTCAACCAGGCGCGTTCCGGCTTGGAGAAATTGTGCTATCTCCGTCGAGGGAGAAACGATGAACTCGCCCATTCTCTGAACGATAACTATGCAGCTTGGATGGTGGGCTGGCGTGGCGATGGAGATGACCCAGGAACAGAGATCAAAACAGGGAAACAGATTCACCGCGAGGTTGAGGTTCATCGCGGGGTACTGGATCATGCTATTAATAGATTAAATTGGTGGCTGCTTATCTCCGTCGGTGAGCACCTATAGGGCTCCAGGGAGACTATCGCGCGCAGCCATATCATGGCGTGCCTCCGGATAAGTAGTCTTTCTCGCCTCTCAGGTGTTCGTCCGATATCCGGCCATTTTTATCACACCGTCTGTCAGCTTTTTGCACAACGAATTGCGTATGCGGGGTAGCGATGGAGTGAGTGGCATTGCGGCAAAAGGCGCAGAGGAGCCGAGAATCACGCACACAACCAGCTGTAAGTGTCACCTTGTGAGGAAACTTGCTCAACGAGACTCTGAAATTCTGCGGGCCATGCTTTTCAGATAAAGTCACAGGGTGTGGGTGAAAGCCTCTTTTGTATCCCGAGTATAAAACAAGGTCCAGCACGTAAGTTAAACGGTATGACGGCTCCACCGCCGATAAGCTTCCCCGCAGAGCTTTCCGCGCACCCGAGCAAGTCTTCTTTCGAAAAGAATTACCTTATCAAGTAAAGAGATCCAGCCCCGGAAATGTAAAAAGCATACGCCCTCCCCTCAACCACCATCAAGGATCCCACTCCCCCCCCACCTCCTCCTCCTCCTCCTCCTCCTCCTCCTCCTCCTCC